GACCAATATGGTTGTGCGACATTTAACAGCATAAGCAACACTTTCATGACACAAGCTCAAGGACTCAAATTCACACATGAGTTACCTACAAATAGCAAGCTGCAATTTTTAGATCTACAACTGTCCTTTGAAGAATCGCACACTTGTTGAGCTTATGCACCACGGTCTAAAAAAAGACTCCAATCTAAGATCATCAAAAGAGGAATAGTGCAGAGTTGCTTCAAAGCGGCCCTGCAAAAGTCCTGTGTATACACGGCTAAGTGTAGTTTCGAAGCACAAGTGTAGTTTCGAAGCACAAGTGCAAAGGCTGCAGGATTCTGGATACACCAATTCATTATTGTTTGATGTAGCAGAATGTCTGACAACTCCCAAGGGAAGAGGAATACGAAATTGCGAGAAGAAAACGCGGCCGGCAGTGATACCCTACTTCCGCAACATATCCCACAACTTCAAAAGGATAGCCATAAAGTATGAAGTACCAGTGGTACTATCAGTTTCAAACAAACTGAAAAAATTGTGTTCTGAGATTAATTCGCAAAATGAAAATAACAATAACTGCACCGTCAAGCATACGCACAAGTACGTCAACTGCAACATCAACGTAGTGTACGAAATTCCATTCACATGTGAGAAAGTCTATGTAGGACAATCTGGGCCCTGTGTGAACGTGAGACTTCGAGAGCATCAACTTTCTCCGAAATCATCACCATCGGGACATCTCGCCCTACATGTCCGGCACTACAGTGAACTACAGTGGAGCGAGCGAGCCCCTCCGCCTGACGCGTGCCGTGTCGACAGCAGCGGCGGCGCTGCGATCGACAACACTTGAATGCAATGGTCCGAAACCAAAACAGACCCGGCGCGCGACAACCTTTGTCTTCCTTGCTGAAATGTGAACCACTGAAATTCAGGGTGCATACGCTCGTAATTTATGCGGTCAGTGTTTCCTGTTCGCCTAGCTGCAAGAAAACATCGAATCTTCCCGTACTGCGACTTTCATATAATGCCTGGGGCACGAACTACGGTGCGATTTTCCTATTCACCTAATAACAGCGCTCTAATAAGCTGACTCCAGCGTTGTGGCATTGAACAAAAACAAGATTTGCATTATTTTAAAATCGTACACAACTCGGCATCTGAGTTTCTATGCACCACAAATGAAAAACAAAGCTATACGGAATGCTTGGCAAACTTTATTGCTTGCCTTTGCATATTGTTGAAAGTAAGTTAGCAGAAACTAACACATAATGAAAGTAGTGAATTCCACAAGACTAACACATTTTGCTCATCCTGGCGTGCATAGCTGCCCTTCTCTTAGATAGAAGATTGGACCTGTTCAGACCTTTCACAAAAAAATGAAGTCTCGATGTTACATAAAAGCTGATAACGCAAGGCGTCAGGCTCTTTGCGTGATCTGCGCATCCAATCTTCAAGAGACCAGCACAGTTAATCATCTCCAAAGTGTCCATCACACTCTCCCGGTGAACTTTCCGTACACTAAAGCAGCCTGTGAAGATATCCTCCAACACTGTTATGAAGCGAAAAAGTTCGACTGAAGGATACAGCAGGCCACCTTTGTCATTATAGCGCACAGTCTCTGCAGCATGCAAAAGGCGTCCCTCCTCTTCCGGCAGCAGGAGGGTGCCAACACAAGCAGAGCATCTGCTCGGAAGAACGCATTTTCTTGCAACGTACCCAGCCAGGTAGTATATGAGCCTAGAGTCGCTCCTCTGCACATGGTATTTATGTTCTATACTCTCATCCGAGGTATGTGAACTTGACAACGTTGCCTTCTCATCTGTGTGGGATTTCACTGTGTTGATCAGCATTTGCTTGGCAGTTTCTTGTCCCTTGTCTCCAGCGTCAAGGAGAGAGCTGATCACATCCTCATCTGCATTGCTGCCTGTAACGCTGCGTGCTAAGTTGTAGAACGACAAACAGTGAACTGTGAGCAAAAATTGTTGTGGCGTGGGGTGCGTGTTGCAACCTGAAGAGAGTCTAACTATTCCAAAAAAGTTCTCGATCTTGTCTTGGCTCAGCCGCGAGGTGAGCACGTACGTGTATCCTACCTTCTCACGCAAATAGCGGAGCAGCTCAAGAGTACTGGTGAGAGTGATCCTTAGTCCCTCTGCAGTCGACTTGCTTAGGAAGTGCAACTTATCAGCCTGATACTCCCATGTGTTCAGAAAATTGAGCATTTCTTTAATCTGCTCTACTCCTGCAGAGCCGGGTCTCAGGGCTTCTGTCGGGTGTCTGGCAGTCATGACACTAATCAGATATTTCATTCTCACGAAGAACCGTTGTGTTCCTTCGATGTCACCGCAGTTCCTCTGCAGCCGCGTGCGATAAAAGAAGAATGCTCGCAAAGGGCCCTATCCGAACAGCTGAAAGGCGTAACTCACTCTCATTTTTTCAAATTTGTTGGGTGCGACATGGACACTTGTTATCCCTGGCATCACTTTCAAAGTGGCTGCACTGCCTTCCAGCTTGAGGGCTTCTTTCACAAACTGAATGGACACTTGTCCTTCAGGCGTTTTGAAAGTCGTGGTGAGGAGTCTGTTCCGGACGTTCTTTACAAGGTGGGGAAAATCAGAAAAAAAAATGAAGGAACCGGCTGCTGTTGACTGGATGTTGTATTTTGCAAATCACTTCTTTCAAAGATGCCCGCACGTTGAACATTCGCCACATTTTTCTGTTCCATGACGCCGCATCGCATGTGACATAGTCCACGAAGAGACCAGCCTTTTCTGCCAGAACTGTGGCCTCCAGCACAATTTTGGCTAGAAGGCCACCCTTTACGTTCTCATTGCTTCCAAAAGCCCCAAGAACTTGCGTCCAAGCGCCTACCAGAGGGACAAACATTACAACAAGGCCATGATTGCATGGCAACGTTTTTTGTTCATCAGGTGTGTAGGGTCCTAGGTTAACAAAGCCTTCGATTTCGGCTCCTGTAGTGACCGACAGGTGTTCGGAGAGCTTCATTTCATCAATAATTAATCCCCCGTGCCGATGAAACTCGTCAAGTTTGGCAGTCTTTTGCTTCAGTACTCTCAGCATTTTTTCATTAAAGCCATAACTACCTTTGTACTGAGCTGTGTATTTCCTAATTGTTGTCTCACTTGGAAGGGTCAGAATGCCCTGCCTACGCATGTACCGATAGAGCTTTGGGCTTCTCATTTTAAGCAGGACGCACTCCAGAATCCATTGCTTGTCATACCTCATGCCGCGTGTGTCTTTTCTCTTCGATGCTCCGAAGCATTGTCTGACAGCCAGTTGCTGTTTCGGTGGCAGAGACTTTATCTTTTCGGTAAGCACGTAATCAGGAGTCGCGGCACATTCATTTTTCATTCTGTTGACATCTCCTGCAAGCTTGTCTAGCCTCAGTAAAAGGCGCTTGTTTTTGCGGGTCCATGCTCGCAGCTTTTGCATAGCGTACCCTCTGGTGCTTCTGGGCATTGTTTTACGTCTTTTGAGACGTGACTGCCGAGTAAAGAGGGCCTTCCTTAAATATCTGCAAGCGGTGCAAGGTGTGCCTTTTTTGTAGCCCTTCCTTGGCAGTTAACGCTGAAAATAGTTCCAGACTTGCGTTCTGTTTGGTCTCGCAAGCTCGTTGTGAGGTTGCTCACCAGGAAAGTTTCGTTTAGTGCTGCGGCGCCGTTGCAGGAATGCATTTCACACACGCGCTGCAATACGTTTGCTGCGTCCTGCATGTTTGACATTGCCGAGCCGGCCACCAGCTTACCAAGCACAAACGCCTTTGAATAGAAAACACCGGCACTGTCTGCGGTGAAGAACACTGCCTTTTCTACCTTCACTTCACCGGTGAGCGAGTTGAGAGAGCACGATGTGAAACACACTCCCTCGATGTCGTCAAGCTGGTGAAGAACCCAGTGCCTGTTCGGCGGTATGATTCCCTTCAACGTGGCGAGAGGTGTGACCACAGGGGGTCTGCTAGTACCATCTGGATGGTCGACAAATTCGGGTCCGTCTGCAGTCGATGGGCGTGACTTTTTTGCTGGCGTGACACCTTCGTCGCTTGTCACGTCCCTCTGATCTGTCTTGGGAGCCGCATGCATGCTTGTGCAAGGTGGGAGGCTCCGTGAATCCATGGGGACAGCGTCAGGAGCGAGTGTAGGTTTCCCTCGTGGGATGCGAACTTCCTCACCGTTGATCTGGTGCACATAGTTTCTAATAATGAAATGTGGTTGGAAATGAAGTTCGCAAATTACGCAGTCTGCGTTGAGCGTGCGGTCGTGTATCACTACTGCGTGATGCACGTTAAAGACCCCAGGCTAGCGGCTGTATCGCACTGGCTAAATTTCTCATCTACAGCTGGGAGACACGTCGCCCCTGTGAGGCAGACCAAGTTCTAGGCTGTATAAACACACACACAACCCATCTTTTTTTTAACTTGTAGCAACAGCTTTCACTTATTTTATTAGTTATATATATGATTTTGCAAACTGGTGCCATTTGTAACCCAAGTGGTACCACTTAAAGCTCACGTGACACCATATGCGACCCAAGTAGTACCACTTGAGGCCCAAGTGTCACCACTTGAAGCCGAAGTGGTGCCACTTGGCTTGCAAGTGGCACCACTTGACTTGCAAGTGCTACCACTTGAAATACCCCTTCAAATTTTCACCTGGGCTTGGCTGATTTCCGCCCGCTTCGAAGCTCTATCGGGTTTGAGCACACGACTGAAGCTTGCTAAAGGTTTTAAGACATCTCGAACACCCAGAAGAACACCCTCTAGCTCGGATCTGGAGGTGCTTCCAGATCTTGCAGATTCGATTCAGAGGATTGGAGCGCTGAAAAACGACCAGCCCAATATACCATGACTAACTCCAAAGACAGCTGGGGCAAACGCATAGAAGAAGAGCTGAGCATAGTGCGCGCGCGGCTCCCCTATAGCTCGAGCATGGGCCATACGCGACGCCGACAACCAACATCGGGCTAGCTAGGGCTGCCGCGAGGGCTCCCGTCAAGACCGGGTCGCCATGAAGCTGGTCGCCGTGCTCGTGCTGGGCAGCCTGATGGCTGTCGCCAGAGCACGGCCCCACGGACCCCGTCGCAGTAAGCGCAATGTTGTCTGGGAGAACATACCCGCGGAGCCGGTGCTGGTTCATGACCCGAAACATCCTGCCCGCTTCTACGAAGACTGGTTCTTGGACCAGGTGCTGCCGCGACTGCAGCGGGAAAACAGGCACCGGCTCGCTGACAAACTCTCGCGGCGCCTCGGAATCCGAAGGAAAAAGGCCCCTCCCGATAACTCCATGGAGTTCGAGGGCTGCCACGCCCTTCCGAGAGTCAGGCCGTCTACAATGACAACCACGCCATGTCTGACGACAACAACGCCGTGTCCAACGGCGACGACTACTACTACTACTTCGACGCCCTGTCCGCCGACGACCACGACGACCTGCAAGCCCCTCACCACTACCACAACGTGCAAACCTACTACCCCGACAACGACGTCCAAACCCACCACTACTACAACTACGTGCAAACCTACAACGACGACCACGACGTGCAAGCCTACCACCACTACGACAACGTGTAGGCCTACCACTACTACGTCTACACCTACGACGACGACCACGACTTACAAACTTACCACCACAACATGCAAACCTACCACCACGACGTGTAAACCAATCACGACGACCACAACTTGTAAACCTACCACCGCGACAACGACGTGCAGACCTATGACGACGACTCATAAGCCACGGACCACGACCTGTAGACCCACGACTACCACCTGCAGGCCTTTCAAGGTCACAACAACGTGTAAACCTTATATAATTGAATCGTTGCAAGAACACGAAAAAGCCAACCCTCATATGCCCCAGCCCTAGGGATAGAGGTATCAGAAATACACATGATCTGAGGACTTCCTGATATCTGGCAGGTCCCCAGGAAAGGCAGATTTCAGTGTTGCGCGTCTGATGCTGCTTATAAACTTCCGTTATTTTTTAAAACAAAACGCTCAAATTGATCACAGTATAATTAAAGACAAATACCATGTATCTACTGTCCTGGTAACGTTCACTTCTTGTGGTCCAGCATTAGGAAGCAGGAAGGAAATAAGGGAGTCATGTTTGAGTCTTCAGCAAACATGCACGAGCAATGCTCGGCAAACGCAAGTCGACCCACTTAAACAATTTAAATTTGTATGCCACACCCAGAGTACAAAATTGGGGTAGGGGTACAAGAAAAAAAATGGCAATAATACAGATTGAGAGGGGGGACACGGTGCCCTACATTTGCCAGCTTGGCGGGCAGAAAAGGTAACAATATTTCCACGGGAATTAACAAGTCACATTCGAGACCCACGACGCATGCTGTGTTTTAACCGATGTAGGTTAAAAATGATCCAGAATATTGTCGCTGCAAACTGCATTTCACTCAGTGTGGCATGGCTGCTATTCTGGGATCTTATATAGGAATCACGTGCGCGGTGAAAAAGACAAACAAATCATTCGTTAGTTGCTTATACAGCAGGAGTTTAGTTTTCCACAGTATGGCTACATTGTTATCTGCCATATCTTCGTTACAGTCGATACAACTTTATGACGTGATGTAAGACGAGCCAGTACAGCCGGGAGCCATTTCGGGGTAGTCGATGACTTGTCGTTCGTAGTTCTGTCGGTGTATAACGCGAGCTTCCGGAGACGCACGAGGAAACGAAACCGAACCCTCACACGCATCCGTCTCGTAACTGTCCTGTCGCGTGGCACCCTCTGGTGCCACTCGGGAGAACCTGACTCTGAATACACGACATTACCCACTGTAGATAAAATATTTAAACCGTGCAGTGCGACTGCTAGCCTGGGGTCTTTAACGTGCACCACGCAGTCCTTGTAGATAACAGCACGCCGGTACGACGCTCATCCATATCGAAACGGGCAGGGGTGGGGATTGAGCCTCCTGGGTTTCGGAGAACTAGCTGCCCGCAGTGATGATTTGAAGAGACATTAGCAGCGTCAAGACCAGTAAAATTTCGCCTTAAATGCACTAATTTTTTTTTTTAATAGCGCTGTTATAATTTTTGTTAGCCTAAAATTTTGACTGCGCCGTGCCATAACACCGGTGCACTCGGACCAAAGAGTACCTCAGTTGTGAAGCTCCCGCAGAAGGGGGTACCCCCCCCCCCCCCCTCCCCTCACTCACTTCAGTCCGCCTGCCGTCGTTCGAAGCGCCATCCAGATTTTCGTTTCATAACTGTGTGTTCCATAGAGCAAAACGGCTCTGCCATAGAGTACGGAGAAGCGCCATCTAGACGCTGCGCTTCGAAACGTACGCATCCTATAGAATACACTGCAGTTACCAAAGCAGCCGTCCGGCGCGTCGAAAGACAGGAGGAGAGTCGTGGTGAGGGGGGGGGGGGGGGGGGGGGGGGGGGGACACTGCTCGTGCATGCAGCGTCTATGAGCAGTTCCGTAATTGAGCGATTCTCATAACGTTGACCCGGACTACGAAATCAGGTACAGTTAGGGTGAAGAACAAAGGCTGGTTCACTCCTTTGCAATGGTTGCGTTCGCATGCATGCAAATAAAACGACTGTAACGACCAAAACACCGCAGCAACCGTGACTCATGGATTGCTTCGTGAAGCTACCCCTTGCATCGCTTGCCATGCTGTGTACGGCGAACACTTGGGGTTCACACTGCCCCATTTTCTTACGTTAAGTTACGAAGTATTACGTCGAAGTCACCGGGACCTCTGTGCTTCGTATCAAGCGAGGCAACAAGTTCAAGGAGAAAGCACGACACGCAGAATTCGAGACACGAATGTTTCGGTGAGTTACACGTAACGTAACTTAACGTAAGAAAATGGGGAAGTGTGAATGAGCCGTTACGGTCACATACGAATGCAACCAACGCAGATGTGTGAACCAGCCTATATGATTGAAATCTCGGTTTAAATCATGATTTAAACTAGACCAGCTTTACTGTGATGATTTAAATTAAATCTTTTCAGTAAATATAATCCCGAGAATATTTTCATTCAGCGTTTGGCTTTCTATGTGCCTTTTGTTTTCTTTATATTAAAGCTTTGATTAAGCAGGAACAATATCTGCAAGGCGGCAAGGAGCACGAGGAGGTGCTCTCCTCAGCATATCGGAGCGTCGAGCTCGAGTTCTACCTTTCATTTCGTTCGTCAGCTATGCAACGTCATATAGCAACAAAATCGAAACGCAAAAGAAAGAAACAAGAAATAGAAAAGTAATGTCCTTTTGCAGTCAGAACGCGAAAGTAAAATTAAATAAAGCTTTTCATATAACAAAAAAAAAAAATATCAAGCTGTTTTTGTTTTAGTATGGCGGAGATTACACCAATTAAAAGTTGCCCATTTAACTGTTCTTTACATTTACTGTAATTCTTTCTTCAGAATTGTTAACAGTAATGGGAGTAATTGATCCATCAATCTGCCAAGTTGAAAAATGCATCTACTGCTAAAGAATCACTATTTTCTAGCTGCAGTGATTAAAATCGAATCTATCTGATCTAAATAAAATAAACCTTATAAAGATCAACTAAATATAATTTAAGTCAAATAAATTGATTTATTTTATTATTTTTGTTCACGATACTGTTTTTTTTTTTTTTTTGCCAACGTTGATTTTGGCCGAATACAAGTGAGCATACTCTGCTATACATTGCATTTTCTTTTACTTCATAATTTCTAATACGTTTCAAAACTAAATAAACTTTTTTATAATATTTCATGTTTTTTTAAAGCTCACGTATTCATAAAATTTTGGAATTGCTGCATCACGTAAATATTGCATCTCTGCACGTCTTCGAAATGGCAGGCCGTCATGGAAACTTCCTTTTTTCGCCACTAGTGGTATTCACTGTTAGATTCGTTCATAATGACAATTCTATTTTTTTAATGTCAGCACTTCAATCTTACATGTGCAGTTTTTACCGATATAAGTATAGTCTACATATTAATATGTAAAAACTCAAAAAAGGAAAGCTGTTTTGTTTTGAAACTTTAAGGTTATTTTTGTGATTATCTGATTATCCATATAGTTCACAAAAGATAATGCCTTGCGGATTGTCTTGACGTTGTAGCCAGGCCTATTAATTATGACCAGCTCTATGACAGAAAGGACGCAACGCCGCCGATAACTTATAAAATGGACTATAGATAGTTGTAACGTATACTTAGAACACAGTCGATCCACAGGCGCTAGGTCACAGTCCAGCAACACGCGCTTGCAACTGCAGTTAAGTTCGTTTGAAACGCGCCATAGATACCAAGTGTCAGCTGCAACCATGGTACCACAGAGGCCCTCTTTAGACCATTGTAATGCTACCATGCCGCCAAGAATGGATCGGATCGGCTTGACGCCTAGCTTTTGATAAACGCGAATATGCTCCTCGTCTACGAAGACGAAGAAGCCATGAGTGATGTCTCGCAGACTTCCTGCACGGGAGCGCGAAGCGGCGACCGCCTCGTGCTCGGCCCAGGTCCGAGCGGTGGGCCATGAAGGCAGCAGCCGGGCCGCTGCTGGCCCTGGCCTTGCTCGCCTGCTCGCTGCTGGCCTGCGGAGCCAGGGCCCTAGGACACCGGACGCCCCTTCCGTCGCCGCGCTCCAAGAGAAGCCTCCGCTGGCAGGACATCTCCGACGCAGGCCCCGACGACAGCTCCTGGCCCGATGACGACCAGGACGACAGCAACGCTGGCAGCGACGACGCCGGCGACGGCAACGGCGAGCTCAAAGGACGGTCGGGCTACTACGACCAGCCGCAGATCGGCGGCAGCGCGTACCAGGAGGAATGGCTCATGGACAGTTTCCTGCCTCACATCCACAAGACGAAGCTGCGCAAGAAGGAAGGCTTTCCGGACCTGTCAAAATATAGGCTGTTTCCGAGTGATGTCGGCGAGGAGTCCGGTCAAAATCGTCGCGAAGCCGCGTCGTCCGAGTCGTTACTAAGTTCTAGTGCATCGACCACGGCAAAATTTCCCAGCTTCTCCACGCCCGCAAAGCAATCGAGTGAGGCTACGTCAGCGGACGCAAGCTCGGTGACGTCAATCACCAGTTCATCGGCTGCAGCGGGAATACGGATGTGCGCTAGTGAGGCCACTTCCAACAGTCCACATACTGACACCACTAAGACTCACACTGCAAAGACTGAAAGCGCAAAGACGGTACTAGCGACGACTGCGACCAAGAAGGTCAAAATCAGCGCGGTGGCGTCGGCTCCTCAAGAAGATTCTGGGAAGTTCGTGATTAATCGGTACGCCCAGGTGGAACACCACTCCGCCTACATGGAGTACATGGATCCGATGAAGAGCTACGCTTGTCGATGGCACATTTGGATCATCGCCATTTTGTGCGCTCTCTTGTTGCTTCTGGCAGTGGTTCATCTGGCGCCCAGAACACCCGCGCCAGAGTCACGACTGCCTCAGGAGCCTGCTCTCTCGCCTCCCACCCCTCCTCTCGTTCCTAAGGCAAAGAGTCCGGAGATCTGGGAGGACGATATCTACGACGTGTCCGAAACGGTCAAGATGGGAAGGTCGCCAAGCCTCGAAGGCCATGAAACTGTTCATTGATACGTCCGGCGGTGGAGTGAATTGGGCTGCGTTAATCGGTGTGAGTATGAATCATGTGACAGCACATGAAGCTGCCCATTCGAGGTGCTCGCCTGTCAAAAGCATTGTGGACTTCCCCTCTTTATTAACTTAGTAACATACGTCCATTCCTGCCTTTGAAGCTGGTAGTTGTGAATAGTACAATGATACCATACTACAAAGTTTATTCATTTTCATTATTTTTGCGTACCGATATGGCAGTCAGTGACGTCGGAGCTGTTCGGTATGTGGGGGTGCGACGGGGAGTGCA